TGTAATTTATGACATATATATGTAATGCGTTCGTAAATCTTTCATATTGTAGTACATAAACTGTTAAATATATGAGGAAAATGACGTAAAGTGAAATTAGCTGCAGGGGATGCAAAAAAAAAAAAAATCTAAACATCTGACTATAAGGTAAAAAAACAAATTTATGATAAAATTGGATATATAAGGGATAAAAAGACGGATTTAGTATGAAACATTCATTTTAATTGGATGGGTTAGGCTGGGAATGGGCACGAGCTCAGCTCCGTCGGTTTGTTGAAGTTTTCTCTTTGGCTGGCGGCCTCCTCAATCCTGATGGCTGATCAAAGTTTGGTTCAACTAAAGACGGCCGTCTTTTCTCCTATCTCGTCTATGTTTTCCTTTGCTTGAGTTAGTCCATGTTGCCGTAAGTAACAAACCATGTGGCTTTCAGTCTACCAATTTCTTTTAATATAATATTTATCTCTTTCTCTCTCTAGCTAGTTGCTCTTTGAATCGAGACTATTGATTTTAGTTTACATTATCGCTTTGGTAAGGGATGCAATGGGGAAGTGAGCGTGAGATAAATCTTCGCCACGTGATTAAAGGGTACATATTATTTTTGGTGAGTTGTCAAACTTGAGGCTATACTACTAATATAATATTAATAAACTAGGCAACTGAGGAATGATATATCTAATTCCAAAAAATGATGATTTTATTTTTAGTAGATCATATTTCATTCATTTTAAATTGAATTAAAAAAATTGTACAATGGAAATGCTTTGATTGCTATATATATAAATATACAATGTTACATATTTTGAGGAAAGTTTTTTCAGTCAAATAATTATGAGTAATAGGAAGACAAGCCCTACCACAATGGTAAGACGAGACAGTAGATTATATCAATTTTTGTTTAAAAGATCAAATTTTGGGTTAAAACAAATATGGTATTACCGGTTAAAATTTAATATAAGTGTGGTTTAATTTAGTTTTTTTTTTTGAAAAAATTTAATTTAGTTTTGGTAAGAAACATCGACATAATAGATGAACTTGGATATCCAATACATCTCTTGGGTGTACGTGTTTCTTTTTACTTTTTTTAAATTTGGAAAAAAAATTGGAAATTAGGAAATTCTTTCTTAAGTTTCAGGAAAGTGTGTTTGGTAAGAGTTAAAAAAAAAAATAAAATGGATGAAAAGTGAGATCTGTAGTAGATTGGATATTAAAAATGAAAGTATGTTTAATGGTAATTAGTAAGTAGTAATGAAAAGTGAGAAATGATTATTAAGCACATAATTTTATAGAATGAATTTTGGTCTATAAAGATAAAGTTGTGTAAAGTAAAATTATTTTATAGAATGAATTTTTAAATTAATTAATTTGTAGGCATTTTTGTAAGCGCTACCTTAGAAATTTGAAAGTAGAGGCATTTTTTAGAAAGTAAAAAAACAAGTTACCCATTTATTCTTATCAAACACACGTGCCTAATTGACTAAATTTCAATGGACTAGTAGTAGGAGATTTATTATTCCAATAAAGAAAGAAAAAAAAAATGGAATTAGGCGCCACCATAGGATCAAATGGAAATTTGTAAGCGCTACCTTAAGGCATCAGTCATCAGTCTTCAGTCATCACTATTGACTATTGTTTATTTTTGTTGGCATGGGCGAATGTCTTAGATATGGTGCTCACTTATATAATTAAATCTAGATTTTTTATTTTAAGTCGGTCAGATATAATGGTGAAACTAAGGAATTTTTATTTTTCTTATTTTTTCTAAATGATTTTTATTTTTTATTTGGATTTAATTTTATTTTGCACAGATGTAACAAGTTCGTTATGATCTACGAATACAATTTGATATTTGCTTTCAATATATTACAAGAAATATTTTTTCGTACTTCCCATACCACTCGTTACCACCCTTGTACTTAGGGGTGGAAATCGGTACGGAATCAGTATCCCAATACCAAATACCAAAATCCTGAATACCAAATTACACCCTAAAGTCAATCACAATCCTAATCCCTAAATAATTTCGGTATCCCAATCTCAATCCCTAAATATACCGGTATCCCAATTGGTACTTCGGTATCCCAATCGGTATTATCAAATACGAAATGATTACCTTCACAACTAATAATTAAATATATAAATTAGATTTTATTGTTTAATTTAGGGAAAAAAGACTAAGCAAAGAGTCTTGAATTAGGATATTATTAAGGAGAATGGAGAGGACATATCTCAAGTTCTTGTCATTGGTAATTTTTAATTTGACGAATTGGAGGTTGACAGACGACTATTAATAGTGATGGAATGATCTATGTATAATTAAATGATACTTTTGGTGGTTGAGGGTTGTGTAGTTAGTGAATGAGAGAGTCTAGTTGAGAGAATAAAATACACACCAGCTTATATTTCGGTATTGATCGGTATTTCGGTATGTACCGATCCCAATTCTGTAATCCCTAATACAGAATAACAATTGAAATTCAATCTCAATCCCTATCCCAAAAAATAATACGTGTATTCGGTAATACCAAATATAGAAAAATTCGATACGGTATTCGGTATATCCCAAATACCGGTACCAAACTTCCAACTCTATTTGTACTACCTACCACCTACTACCACTCGGCATCACCTTCATTTTTCACTTGCATTTTGAAAATTTTTGCCCATAAGGAATGAGTTATTTGTTATCTATTGGATCTATAAATTTTCTGGAGAAAAATTTTGATGACCAAATATACCACCCTAGTATAGGGCGGTAAAAGGTGATGCAATGTGATAAATAACAGTATATTCCTACTATCACGTATATATATACTCATTCTACACTATAGTATATATATATTCATACGACCATGGTACACTTCATACCACATAATATAATCTTATGTACTACCAGAAATTACCACAATGATATGGACCAGTAATAAATATCTCTTTGTTTTTTGTTCCAAAATATATTAAAGTGGATGTCATTTTGATGAGCATAATTAATATAATTTATTTGTGCACAAAATTAAATTATGACTTAAAAGTTAAAATGAAAGATATATAACCCGTAAAACTTAATGTGGGAAAAGTAAGGCCCTGTTTACTTTCATTTCTGTTTCCTGTTTTTGAGAAAACAGATGTTGAAAACAGGTGAAAACAACATTTTGTCGTTTCCGAAAACAGCAGGAAGTTGCCACTTTCTGTTTTCATAGTTGAAAACGAATAGAAAACAGAATGAAAAGTAAACAAGTTTTCTCGTTTCGGTTGCCAAATTTATGACATGAAAACAGAAAACAGGAAACGAAAATGAAAGTGAACAAGGCCTAAGTTTATGAATGTTTATTGATCCATAGGTTATTGATGGAATCTGCTCCTTGACCGTGGGACAAAGGATTATAAGTATACAATTATTCAAAACATTATATTATTATAATAAGGGTAAGGTATAAAATTTTATTGTACAAAATAATGATTGAGAGCCATCCATTCATCTAGATTTGAATGGTCAAAATTTATTAAAGGAGACTTGGACGTAATTTTCTTCGACGAGATTTCCTGGAGAGGATCCTTTCCTTATTCGAGAAACTGGCTACCCAAGATTTAAACCCATCATAGTATCGACAACGGTACAGTGTGCTCCCTCTTACAACCAACTTTGCTCTCCACAATCCTACGTTTATATTCCTCCTCTCCAGACATCCTGTTCGTGAACCCTTTTCTCCTCCGTCAACCCTGCGGAACTTAAGCGGAGCTGGAGGAAGAGAATACACAGGTAGTGTATGGCCCTTCCACCTTATTCCCTGTGATTGATCGGTAAAAGCAGGGGTAATCTTTGAGCAAATAAAAAACAAAATATTTCAATTTCAGAAGCTTCGAAAGTTCTGACTATCAGACCTAACAAGTCATCTTAGGTATCCAATCATGGAACTTAATTATCCACAAAAAACCTCTGGGTTTTGCGAAATGTTCGAACCAGTATGAAAAATTGATGATTGGTCGAAAACTAATCTAAGCTAAGACCACCGTCTCTCAGAAGAGCAAGGTGCAGAGGGCTTTGACCCCAATCAAGGTGATGTTAATTTATATTGTTGAAGTACCAATATGTAATTAATGTAATTAGCCACCTGTGACTCCCATTAGTACCCATATATATATAGAGCTGCAAATCTATCTCTCTATAACCTAATTTCGATATAGGGAAAACTTTGAAGAGTCTAACATGGTATCAGAGCCTCTGCTCTAAAGATTTGTGTACAGCTCTTGGCAGTTTGGTGGCGGGGGTGCTCAAGTTATGGTTTGTTCCCCGCTCTCTCCTTCCATTCCTTGGATTGTGTAGTTGTTGGAATTATTTTTGGTGCATTGTTGTTGTGAGGGTTTTGTCTATTGGTGGGTGACACTTTTTGGTTCGGAAAGGTTTCTTGGTGCCGAGTTTGTTATTGTCCTCCTAAGGTATTACAGATTTTTCGATTAAGTTTTATGGTCGAAACTTTGGTACTGCTCACGAGATGTGGACTCATCTCCACACTACTAACTCTCAAAATACTACCTCTAGCCAGTTTAATTTGGAGGGCAAGATTTCTCGCCTTACTTAATGCGATCGTGACGTCCGGTGCTACTATCAGTCTGCTCTTCACTTATGGATGGAGTATGATCTTCTCACTGCCTCCCTTGTCCCAGCTGTTGCTTCGTAGGTCGTCCTTGCTAAGCGTACGCGTACCCGTGTGCTCTATTTTTTGGCCAAGTTTTGGACGGATTTGAACCCATCCGACCATCTTTAATTCATCATAATATTACCCGCATTGATGACGTTGTGGCTGAGCTAATGCGAGGAGACTCGTCTAAAGAGTTGGTCCCAGATTGATGGTATGAACTCCCATGGGAAGGCTGCGTTTGTGGTTGGCCGATGCTTCTTCGATTCCGAGTTGGATCATTTCTCACTTCTGTTTTGAACCCGGACATGTGCAGATTTATTGCTGCAAGAAGACTGCAATTATTGTAAACTTACGGGACATATAGTTTCTGAGTGCCCTACTCTAAGTCGGCGGGGTAAGTTTCGCCCCACTCCTACTGGTGGTTCGTCTTCTCATGTCGCTGCCGCGTATCATGTGACTTTGGGCAGTTCAGAGGGGTCCTCTTCCTCGGCCCCTACTCTCACTCCTAATCAGGTTCGCCATATGGTTCAGGAAGCTCTTTGTGAGGCACTCTCTTCTACTTCTGTGATTGGTACACACTCTGGTAAGTCACTTCGATGGTTGGTTAATTCTGCAGCGTTTAATCACATGTCTTATCATCAACCTGTCTTTATGAACTTGCATCATGTCCCGTCTATGCATCTTCAAGTGGCTAATGGAGCCACAATACCAGTACAGAGTTTGGGTTTAGCTAGCACTGCCTCTACTCCCTTCTCCACATGCTCTAGGGGTGGCTATATGGTCCGGTCCGGTTAAATTGGCCCAAATTGATCCGGTCCAGTCCGGTTTTTTTTAGAATATAAGGACCGAAGATTGGATTGGATACAGTCCGGTCTTGATCCGGTCCGGTCTTGACCCGATCCGGTCCCAATTCGGTCTTGATTTTATATTGAGATTGTGGGAATTTGAGTGGCCTAAGGCCTAAAAGGGTGAGGAGTTGGTTAAGTTTTGTACTAAGTGTAAAGGTTTGTGACCGTTTATGCAAATTACCCTTAAGTTTTGGGTGTTGAGCTCTCTTATCCGGTCTTTATCCGGTTTTCTACCTCAAATCTAAGCCCAAAGATTGGATTGGATTGTTTACTATCCGGTCCCGGTCCGGTCTCGGTCCGGGTTATACGGTCCGGTTTCCGGTTTTTCATCCGGTCCCGGTCCAAATAGCCAGCCCTAACATGCTCTATGTTCCTTAGGTACTTCCAAACTTAGTTCCGTGGGTCAAGTGACGGATGATGGTTGTGATATCATGTTTGATTCAGTTGATTGTGTTGTGCAGGATTGATTGACGGGGGGTGATCGAGAAGGCAAGAAAGGTGGAACATAACTTTCTTGTTGGAGGAGTTCCACAGGAAGGACGTGACGAATGCATCATGGCAGTAGGTGCGGTTTTAGGATGTAGTGGTCACGTGGTTTAGGATTCTCATCTCGGACAGGAGGGACGTGGCAGTCGAGTACATGCAGTGATGATAGCAATGTTCTGCGTACTGTTTCTGGTTCGTATGCTTTAGTTGGCAATTCTTTGTATTTGTAGGATTTCTGACATAATCGTTCGGGTCACCTTTACTTGGATCGATTGAAGGCTATGTTTAAGAAAAATTTATTACCTGATAAATTGGATTTATTGAGGTTCAATGAGATATCTGAGGACTGAATGTGTGAGCTGTTTGGAGGCCAAAGCCTATCAACATTCTTCTGCGCTTAATGAGATAGTTTATGATGAAACCTTTGATTTGGTTCATATGGATTTTTGGGGACAGTTACCAGTTACTGCGAGGATGGGTTTCTGGTATTTTGCTATTTTTATTGGTCATCACTCTTGCTTCACCTAGGTGTATTTTCTTAAGCATAAGTTAGAACTAACATCAGTGGCTAAGGAGTTTATCGAGCTGGTGAAGACACAGTTTGGTAAAACAATTAATGTACTATGTTTAGATCCTGGAGGAGAGTTCACATCAAACGAGTTCATTGTTGTCTTTAAGACAGAGGTCATTCTACCACAACAGTCCTGCCCTGGGGTGTCTCAGCAAAACGGAGTAGTGGAACGTAAGAACCGCCATGTGTTGGAGCTCACGCGAGGTATCCTTTTTTTCTCTCGTGTACCTACATTTTTTGGGTCGAAGCGCTAGATACAATCGTCTATCTCATTAATTGTCAAATCACTCCTCTATTGGGTCAAAATTTTCAGTATCAAATTTTATATTCGAAGCTTCCTGATTATTCCTTCCTACGTTTGTTTGGGTGTACGTGTTTTGTTCTATTGCAAAAGAAGGAATGTCATAAGTTAGCTCCAAAGGTAGTTTGTTGTGTGTTTTTAGGTTATAGTGAAAACTTAGGTCACCCAATTCTCCACTCCGCCCTGCACAATCCCGCTCAAGAACGCCAAAACGCAAATTTTTGGGAGTCCGTCCAAAATTCGCTTGGAATTTTTGGGAGCACATCTCTTTTCGAACTCAAAAATCTAATATATATCTTCATCCTCTTCTTTCCGTTTGTCCACTTGAATTCCCTTCCGAGCCTATTTGTCAGAAGCACAACTCTGTTCAGCTCTTGGGTCAAGTCTTAGGCCAAGTTTCTAAAGATGAAATTAAGAGCAAAGGGATACAGAAATCTGGGACATTTATCCATTTCATTAGCTAGAGATGCATGCAGCAACACCAATGTCAGCAGTGGGGGAGTGCTACCTTGGATTTGTTGCTTTTGGTCGAATCAGGAGCCGGTGGAGAGCCATTAGTGTTTCTGCGTTTCTAGATAGCAGATACCACACTTGGATGGAGAGCTCCAATCGGAGAAAATGAACGGACGTGAGCGAAGAGGGCTTCTTGGCAGAATCATTAGATAGAGTTTCTAAAATCTATTCCCTTCCCGTCATTGACTGCTTGCTTGGATCAAAGGGATGTTCAATCGCTTTTATTAAGAAGTTCTTGAGTTTGGGTGGAGAAAAAGGAGGAAGGAAGGGATTAGAGAGAAGAGAGAGCGGAAAAACAAGAAGAGGGTGGGTTGGTGCGTACAGTAGGAGGTAATGTGAGGAGAGAGAGACATTTGTTCTTTTAATGGAAATGAATTGCTGCTTTTTATTATTATAATTTAAGTAGATATATATTATTTATTAATTATATTGATATTTGACTATTTTTTCTGCATAGAGTGCAATTCAATTGGTAACAGAACTAATAGTATTTGTATGCGAATAATTTGTCGGATTAAATAGTGATAGTATTCCTCATATTTTATTTAATAATTAAAAAATATCATGCTTATTTATTAAAATCATAATATATTAACGCTCTATTCACGCTCTCAATATTGTATTCTTCTAATACTTACGCTCTGACGTTCCCGCTCTCGCTATGGTTACCTTAGTGAAAACACAAGGGATACATGTGTTATGATCCAGTTGCTCGTCGTATGAGGATCGCCTATCATGTCAAGTTCATGGAACGAGATATGTATTATCACTATTTTCATGCAGAAGCTAGTACAGCCGAAGCTCTTGAGTTCTTAACCCATTGGTCATTTTTCGAGTCCGCTCCACTTCCCGCCTGCTAGGAACCCCATCGTGTCGAGCAACAGTGACGAGACTTCCTCATCGGCAACTTCAGCTTCCTTGGCTTCATCCGAAGCGTCCTCTAGCTTGCCGCATGTTTCTTCGCCTTCCTCGTCCTCTAAGTCATCTACTACTTCGGACGTCTGTTTCCTCATCTTCTAGGTCTTCGAAGAATGGGTCATCTACCTCCAAGTGAGGGTCTCCCTCTCCTGTTCAACAGGTGGTTCCCTTACGTCGCTCAACACGAGCAACCTTGCGGCAGCCACCTTTCAGCTGAACCCATTTTCATTCTGCACAGCTATGCTGAGACTGCACGTGGTCCTAGGTGGAACGTTGCTATGCGTGTGGAGACGAATGTTGTGGAGGAAAACCGTACTTCGGATCTAGTGTCGCGGGAAGAAGATATGTCCTTAATTGTATTCGTTATAATGTGAAAATGCACCCAAATGGATCAGTTGAAGGTTTTAAGCTCGTGCGGTTGCTCAAGACTTCAAACAAGAGTATGATATAGATTATGAGGAGACCTTTGCTCAAGGCTTCAAACAAGAGTTGGAACATAATCCTTTTATACTGGGCATTGAATTTGGATGCACTTTAAGTGATTAGGATACGTTAATTTGAGAAAACTTTGCTAATTTACCACACAATTACATTATGGGTACATTTTGTTGGAATTGTAGTGGTATCGGGTCCATCCTTACAACGAGATCATTGAAAGAGGTAGTTAACCGATTTACACCATTTCTGTTTTTTCTTAGTGAAACAAAAAATAAGGATGATGAGGTTAAAAAGACAATTCAACAAATTGGTTTTAAGGAGGTCCAGTTAGTTAGCGCCATAGGATAATCAGGTGGACTAGCGGTAGCTTGGAAACCAGAGGTCCAATGTATTGTTCTTGATAGAGATCGACATTTCTTTCATGTTGAATGTCACCATTCTGAGTTGGGGATCGCTTTCTTTATTTTTGTTCATCTTAGTTGTGATGTAAGAACCAGACAGTCTCAATTGGATGACATTTCCAACTTAGCCCTGGCTTTTTCCCAACCCATCTTTGTACTTGGGGATTTCAATTGTATTCTCCATTCGTCAGAAAAGACAAGGGGTAGAAGCCCTGCTTTCAAGCCCTTGACCAGTTGAGAGACTTCTGCTCTCAGGCAGGATTACATGATATGGGTTTTGGTGGTCCCCAATATACTTGGTCTAATCGTGGATCAACTGAGAACCACATTATGGTAAGACTCAGTAGAGTTCTTGGTTAGGTAACCAGTTCGTGGAGCGGGAGCGAAAGCGGGAGCGTGAGAGCGTTTATTTTGCAAGAATTCAATATTGAGAGGTGAAAAGTACGCTAATATTATATTATATTAATTATTCAATATATTATTATTCTCAAAAAATATACAAAAATAAAATATACAAGATGACAAAAGTAATATCGTTTTCTCCAAGGAGGTGAGAGATAATATGGTTATGGTAAGTGGTGACTAAAATAATAATTTATTATTAACTTTTTATTTTCCTATCCCTTAACCCGTATATGCTCCCGAAACAAATAGAAGGGATAGATCACCCATCCCTTTTATCTCTTCCACTCCCCCCTTTCCCTCTGGATTGATCGAACAACATAGAAATTGAAATTTGCCCAAACAAACAGATCAGTTGCTCTCCTGCATGGAACTCAATCTCTTCCCTATTGTGTGTTAGAGTAGTCAAATAGTAAAGGAAATACCACATTGGTGGGAGAAGGAAAGTGCAAGTTGTTTTTAAGTTTGCTTTCTACTTTAGTTATTGGATAAAGTGGTTAGTGGGTTTTTGGAAAAAGTGTGGGCTATTTAATTTGACATATTAAATCGCACTACGCACTTAGCGCGACGCGTTCAGATTTAAATTTTTGGCTAATTATTCCGGAAAATTATTTGATTTTGACTTTTGTGAAACGACGTAACCCTTCGGAAGGGAACTGCCATTTTCACTATAAAAAGTCTTCTGCAGCCAATGTTCTCGTTTAACGTTCATCTTCTTCTCCTCGTTTTTTTTCCTTCTCCAAAAACACAAACACAGAAGTCACGAAAGGTGCTGCTTTCAGACTTTGATTGGAGGGACTCCTGGGGGTGGTTTGCCTAAATCCTACAGCAACTGAGTAGTGGGGGCAAATAAACACTCTAAGGAGAGTGAT